ACGGGACAGTTATGCCGGTACATGCCTCCGTATTGGTGGACGTACTGCCAGTGCGTCTGATCCAACAACACATGCCGAGTGGGATCCACGAGAATTAGGAGCGATGCCACACTGACCAGAATCGTGGGACCATACTTACAAGAAGCGCGTTTGCTGGATTCGTAAGCGACAAAGAGCACCACCGCCACCAACATAATAAGTTTGGTACAGAATTCAACGACATGACTGGCATGACGTGAGGCCGTCGTCACGGTTCCTCCCAAGAGAGGAATGACGAGGGCCGGCCAACATCACATGCCAATCAACGCGGGAAGACTCAACAGTAGTGTCAACAAGGAGACCCACACACTCGCATTGCTGTTGCTGCTCCTATTACTACTAGCAGTAGTGCTGGGCAACAGGCGATCCGTCTCCTTGGGACGAGGCTGTCAGGACGAACCACTACAAACAAGATCCGTCATCGTCAAAGTAAAAAGTGTAAAAAGCTGTTGTCGAGACGTCGAGACATAAAATCTTTTGCAAATAAGCCGGCAGGGTTTGAAACGCATTGGTTTCAGGGTCTTGACTGACTGAGTCACTCGATGTTTCCAGCTAGCAGGGATTTGCTGCGGTGTAGCAACAGCTAGAGGACCACAGTCTTTCCTAACTAGACTAGTTTCCATCTACTACCGATTGGTACGATGGCAGCTAGCTACGGTATGCTGCTGTCGCAGGTAGCTCATACTTTTGGCTTCAGCATTTCTTGCTGCTGGCTATACTACGTAGCTGCTAATAGGTCGTCGAGATTTCACGCAACTCCATATGCAAGCAAAGTATATATCGGGCACATGCAATTTGATAAGGTACCATACTATCAGCGAGCACCTCCAGGATGTACCCCCTTCGTGGGAAGGTTGGAAATGCATACAAAAGTCCAGGTCCTGTTCGGCATCTCTGCCCTGGTCCTTGCATTGGCAGGGACAAGACATGCAGGCACACACCGCCGAAGCATTCCACACTCCATGATCAGAAATTTCCAAATACGTTTTTGCTATGCCGTCACTGGCTTCCTTCACGAGCTGGCATTATGGCAGCGAGGACATTGGGACTTGACACTGTAGTGGCCAGCTTCATGGCGATTTTCAGAGCTGGGAATTTGCGGCCTGGTGACCATGTGAATTGGCATCATCAAGGGCCCCATCGCGAGAGGAAGATAACGAGAGACTTTGACCCATGCTCACTGGATGCTCAGGACCAACTATGTATGTTATTGGGTTGGAGCTCTCAGAGAAGCATTGAAAGACGCTGCTGCTTCTAAGTACACAGTACCACAATCCATAGTAGACATCGAAGCACCTTGAGTTCTTTCAAGGTGCTAACATTATGAACATCTTCGTTTGTTATGAGTTGTTTCTGACCTTGGTAATGTGTAGCTAGCAGCACGCACCTCCAATCCTCATTACCGCCGCCCAGCTGCAGCACGAGCAGCTTGGGCCTCTCGTTTGGATCTTTCGATCGCGTCTTTTCTAGCCTGTTCTTCTGCTTTTTTCTCCTCCAGTGATGTTGTCCGGCGCATGGGTGATACACTTCGCTTGGTTGATCTGGTCCGCATCGGCGAGACGCCTCGCACGGGAGCAGTGACTGTCCTTCTCAGGCCACCCCCTGCAGTAGTGGCTGCGGTCGAAGCTGCAGTGGCTGCCGAAGTTGCAGTTGTTGCAGCGGCATTGGCAGCTGACGTTGCCGCAGTTGAAGCTGCAGTAGCTGCCGAAGTTGCGGTTGTTGCAGCGGCATTGGCTGCTGATGCTGCAGATGTTGCGGCGGCATTCGCTGCTGATGTCATAGAATTGGCAACATCAGTAATGGAAATGAGACGAATGGCCGGTTTCTTAGGACTCTTTTTGGGACTGTCGAGTGTTTGGACACGGCGAATGGGAGACTTGCCGGCTTTCCCCCTGCCAGCGGGTGATGCTTTGTTGCCATTTTGTCGCACCTCCACCGAGATTCCAATCTTCTTTGGCGCGGTCACACTACGCTTTGGCGTAGACTTTGACCGCGATCCTAGTCTTGCTGCGACAGCCTCTGGTCGAGCCCGGGCCACAGGACAATCAAAATGATCGTTGTGGCTGTGACTCATGCTTCCTCCATTCCTACGGGCTCTTGCCTCTGCTGCTTCCCGCCTAGACCTGTTAATAGCCTCTTTCCTTAATGCTTCTTCAAAGTCTTCTTCCTCTTTCGATTCGGAGGTACGTCGAACCGTTTCTGTATTGCTCCTTCGAAACGGAGAAGCAGCTCTGGTAACTGTGGTTGCCGCACCAGCCACGGAACTGGTGACAGTGGTTGCCGCATCCGAGAGCGCGGTAAACACTCCGGTACTGTCACGCATATTGTCAGTGTTGGTCCTCCGGATGGTTTGTGTATTGCTCCTTCGTATGTTGTCGGTATTGCTTCTTCTTTTCACAGTTTCCGTGTTGCTTCTCCGAAACGGCGACACGGCCACCGCCCCAGCAACACTGGCCACACCAGTTCCACTGCGTCGGAGCATATCGGTACCAGCACCTGCCACCGTTCCGGCAGCCCCTACCACCGATCCGGCAGCTCCCACTACGGACGCCCCAGCTTGGAAGACTCCGGTACCCACAACATTTCCAGCTTGGTAGACGCCCGTACCCACAACATTTCCAGCCTGATACACGCCCGTGCCCACAACATTTCCAGCCTGATACACGCCCGTGCCCACAACATTTCCGGCTTGATACACGCCAGTACCCACGACATTTCCGGCCTGATACACGCCCGTGCCCACAACATTTCCAGCTTGATACACACCCGTCCCGACGGCATTTCCCGCCTGATAGACGCCGGTTCCAGCGGCCTGCACGGCATCCGCCGCCACTTGTGCTGTACCCATACCCACATGAACGACACCCTCACCGACCATCATGGCCCCACCGGCGGCGGCATTGGCGGCATCGTACACCAATTTGGCCGGCATGGCTCCCAAACGCCACAAACTTCGTTGTTCCGCTCGCGCTCGTTTAAAGTCTTGATACTTTTGGCCACCCTCTTTTTCTCGGCGCATCATTTCCTCGCGACTGTCGGTATCAAAATAGGATTCAATTTCTTGTCGGGCACCGTCCCGGGTTGATTTGAGGACATAGGGCAAATCTCCCACGGTACCCGAATAACAACAATCGACCAACATGGTCGTGTACACACCACCCGGCAATGCCTTGATGAGATCTCGCAAGATAACTTCATCCATGACGGGTCCACGTTTATAGTCGGACGGACAAATATACAGATTATTGCCAGTACGTCCTCCGTGTCCCGAGAATTGAATAAAGACGACATCGCCGCGTTTGGTGAGGCGACACAATTTGGTAAATGCGGCGAGAATATTGCGTTTGGTCGGATCGGTGTGAATGTCATCATCTTTCATGACGGTAATATCGGCTTCTTTAAAACCACAGTAGAGTCGCAGAAACGACTGCATACACGAAATGTCATTGTGCGATCCCTTGAGATCGGGACCTTCTCCCACGCGAACAGCAATCAGGAGGGCATGTCGTTTTCCCGTGTATCCGGGTGGGACAATATAAAAGGGTGCATACTGATCCTTCTTACCAGACCGTCGCGGTGGTCCCAGTGGTCGACTGGATGACATGGTCGGTTTGGCTTCGACTTTGGAATGTTCCTTGACGCGTTTTTTGATTTGTTGGAGAATTTCGAGACAATTCCACGGTTCGGTTTCGCCACACGCAATCATGCGTCGTGGATTTTCGTACATGATTTGCAGTAATGCACTGGTAGCGACCGATCCGGCATTGACCTTTTTGGCTTGTCGATTGACGGGTAGATTGTAGTGTTCCATGGCGTACCAGTCTTCCAGCGCTTGTGTGCGATCGTCTTGACTGGCCAAGAGTTGAAATTCCGAGGGAATGCACTTGCGAACCTTTTCTTCAAAGGCGTCATTGTCGGAATGGCCAAAGCCTTCCAGAATTCCTCCTAATATTCCTCCAGAAGTAGCATTGGAACTGGACCGGACGGGACTCTTGCCTCGATTGGCCGTTCCACTATTGGTAGACGTCCGTCCACTGGATCGCACGGGAGATTTTCCTCGATTGTTGGCGGAATTGGTGGATCCCCGGACGGGTGAATGGGAACGAGACTGACGTTGACTAGTGGTTGTGGGGGTGCTGGTAGTTCTCTTGGGACTCTTGGGAGCAGCAGTAGCACCACTGGTAGAACGCGTGGGAGACTTGGCTCGACCCGACGATGGAGGAGGAGTTCTCGACCGAGCTGTAGTCCTCTTGGTGGTAGTCGTGGTGCTCATCTTCTCGTTCTTGCTGTGGTGGACTGGGGTGATGGTGCTGGATCTCTCTACAGAAGAGCTAAAAATCATACTGCTTCCTCCAACTTTGCCGTTGTGGTGCCAATACAAAAAATGGCTAGAGTGTCAGTGGATCTTGACCTCGACCTCTGGCTGGGGTCTTTTTTTGGCAATCAGGGATAAGAGCACGAAACTCGCCACTCTGCCGTTGGGCTCAAAGAAGGATGTTGGCTTTTAATGGTTAAGGATATAAGCCCGAAACTGCTCAGACACTCAATGTCCGCGATCACTTGACACCTTCATAAGTCCTCGCAACAGTCTTTTCTCAGAAGTACAGTATCTTAGAGGGAGCGTTGTATTCGTAATTCTTCTTGGTCAGGGCATTAATGGCTAATTAGTGGTACGGTACGGAAAGTACCGGATGCTCGAAGTCACACTTGGCTCAAGACTTTCACTGCACTCTGCAGCTTACAGTACACCTCTACCTCATCGATAAGAAGCCTCTATTCTGAGAACTGACTGGAAATATCTTGATTCATCAAGAAACCCACTTATTAATAGTCATTATCCTTCCAAGCAGCCAAATCTCAGTATCTTTTATATCTCATATAATAGCCACTAGCAGCTATTGTCACATACCCTACCGGTACTACTCACCATGCCCTTCTAAAGACAGCGAGGAGCCACCACCAAAGCCCAAGAAGAAATAGGTTCAAAGCCAAAATTGATAAAACCAAAGATGTTATTGTAGAGAAGGCACCCCAAGATGGGGATACCGGTATGGAGGACTTGGATGTAGATGGTGATGTGGAAGAAAGTGGGTTCTATCTGCCCTCACTACCCAATAGTAGTAGTACTAGCTTAAAAAGATTTGAGACATTGGTACTCCTAGCTTATCTTACTAGTTTGGGAAATCTGAGTGTCTAGATTATCTTAACATTAAATTTCTGTAAATCTGAGTAGCTTCTGAGTGCTCCGAATCTTAAACCCGCTTATCTTAAATGTGAGTGAGGACGGTACCAGTACATGTACCAAGTACCAAGGTGCAGATGCTTTGGAACTGGATCCAACATCAGATTTTCACTGATCTCAGTACAGTACGGATACCGCGGTACCGGTACATGTATGTACATCGTACCAGTTAGTTGATTGTGGTGACTGGCTCATCGGTTTCCCGTGTGATGATTCGTACCATGATACCTCCAGTTCGATGCACGTTACGGTACGTTGTCTCGAGCTAGCTAGCTATGTTATGATACGGTATCAAATGCTCGCAATCGGATGATTGAATGATGATCGCAAAAAGTATCGTACTACTTACGATTATTGGTCTTGATTGGTTGTCTTGTCTTGTCATGTCACATGCAAGTATTTTCACTGGCTCCCCCTCATTGTACTTGTGTCCTTGGTGGCTTGATCCAGTGGAAACCGAATCACAGAAATTTTGTGTGGTGTTTTCCCTTTGGCTTTGCCCGCCTGATTTTGTTGTTATTGTTGCATGTTTGTGCTTGTTTGTGCTTCGTTGTGTGCGTGGAGGTGCGTGGAAGTTGTAGAGTGCTTTGTCTTGTGCGATATAATTTAGGAAGCTACCACATTGTACCGGTATGTATGTATGGCGTTGTGGTGCGTGCGTGCTTCCCTTTTGTCGTAACATTTACTTTGATCATCATAATCGAGAAGACGAACCGACTAGGTCGGTAAGCTCCTTGTCGGCTTCGCTCAACATGGCATCGAGATCGGCAAATGCGTCGTCCACAATATCGCTAGCGTCACTGTCGTCGTCGTCGTCGCCGTGTTGCTTTCTTCGAGCCAGCTTGTCTTCTAATTTTCGAATTCGTTCCAAATGCAAATGATTGTTGAGTTGTGCCGTCTCGAGTTGCTCCTTTTGCGTCGCAACCAGTGCCACGATTTCGGCCATGTCGTTATTGTCGTCTGTTGCTACGTCTGTTGCGTGGAGTTGTTGTTTGTTGCTGTTATTGCTTTCTGGTTCGACTTGTTTTTGTTCTTTTTGTTGTTGCAATACAACCGATAAGTCGTGCACCAAATGCTGAATGCGTTCCAACTGAATGTTGCTTTCCCATCGTGTCATGGCGACTTCCTTGGCCCGATCTCGTTGCAAGTCTTGAATGAGCATAATTTTAGCTTGAAGATTTTGTTGCAACATGGTAAATGTGTTGTGGTCGGCCGTACGGAATCGTTGCAGTGATTCGAGTTGTTGTGTTTGCCACTCATTTTCCGACTTCAACACGGCGACTTGTTGCTTCAACTCGTCGTTGTCGTGGGAGTGCTGTTTTGCCAATTCCGTTTCTACAGTTTGACGGTTGGATTTTTCTTTTTGAAGTTGTTCTTGCTGTTCTTGGAGGGTTTGTTGGAGGGATTGAATGGTCTGTCGCAGAGCCGCCCGTTCCTGATACCATGCTTGCTCTCTCTTGCGATGGTCCTGGTCCTTGCTAGCTTCAATAGCTGTTTCAATGTTGTTGCTGGAAGAAGCGGTAGAAATGATGGTAAACGTGGTTTCCGGTGAGATGGCTCTGTTGGGTTCTGGTTGTTGTGGCTGCTGATGAGGATCATCGTTGTGATTATTCTGATGATGGTGGAACTGCTGGGAGACTCTGAGTTGCTGTTCCAAAGAGTCAATAGTATTATTGGCTTCCTCCAGTAGAAGCAGGAGTTTTGACTTGGTCAACAAATCTTCTGTTGGCTGTTGTTGCTGCTGTTGCGGTCGTTGCTTGACGGGAGTAGACTCTGGTGATTCTACCAACATGGGAAGAGTCTTGTCCTCTCTTTTCACACTACTAGCATGCTGGCTGATGATGATATCGATCGTCTTTCGAGTCTGCTTTTTGGACTTGAGGAAGGAAAAGAAACAGAGCGCTCCCGCGACAAAGACAAACAAGCCAACGGCCATGGCATCCAGCACTGCTGGTGGATCCAGATTGAAATTCACATCCATCGGCAAGGAAGAAGAAGAAGCCAAGAGTCCAATCCTTTCGACAAGCAACCTTCCAAAGTCTTGATGAGCAGCTCCAATTCTAGCAACAGTACCAGCGGGAAACGCAGTATCAATTGTACTCGTAGTACTAGCAACGTTGCTAGTGTCCATGTCCACACTGTCGTCTTTTTCTTCCATCCAAGTGGCTCCAATAGACTCTTCTTCTGTACTTGTAGTTTGTTCTTCTTCTGCGTCTGAAACAGTACTTGTATCAGTAGTCTTCATGACCATGTTGTCTTCTTCTTGGACAATCCACGTGCTCCCCGTCGTCTCCTCTTCAGTACTTGTAGTGCTTGTCGTCGTCTCTTCTTCTACTTCTTCTTGCTGTGGCTGCTGCTGTGACGACTTGTGGTGGTGTTTGTGGAAGCCACAACGGCACTGACATGATTCCGACAAAGATACGGCAGAGGAAGGAGCATGACACGGACACAGTCGCCTCACTACCACACACGCTCCTCGACGCAGCGGCGCCAGGACCGCATGATGAAACCCAGACGCCATTGCTACAGACAGTTCAGATAGTTGTATCTGGTATGTTGACACCAGATCGTATCGTCTCGTCCTCGACTTGTTCGTAAACCCAACGCCCCTCTGTCGACCACAATTGAGAGCTGGGTGCTGAGCTGAGGTACTGACCAAGAAGAACTGTGCCGCTGTTGTATCTTTTGCGTTCTGACGACCACAATTGAGGGTTTGAGTGCTTTACCACAAAGCCGTGACTTCCTGCCTCATTTTTTGGAATTCCTCGTATGAATTTCAGTGGTGCGCGTTAGAAACAATGACGTCAGGGTGACCAACCAAACGACATTCGACTGTCACGCCAAACCTCAATGGACAAATTTATTTTTGTCGAAGGTTCGGAATGCCTCCAGTTCTCGGATAAGAGCAGGATCAACAGTGGCATCAAAGTTAGGTGCAAACTCGCAAACTCAGATTTTGCGCTTAATGGAGGCAATTGTCACCATCTTCAACTTACATTAAGCCTCCACTGGCACCAAATATTTGCGCAACGTTTATGTCAGGTTGGTGCTGTCGGCAAATATCGCCAATTTGCTGTCAGTTGGTAATGGAGGAAGTCGACACCAAATAGCATCATTGTTTATATCCAAAATGAATATATTGAATGATCTGTTATTCTTGGAGGCAAGTTTCGTTCCCTCCAAGGAAGATTCGCAGCTACATCAATAGACAATGGCCAGGCATGTGAATAGCTTTCGTGCAAATGAAATATTGTGGGTTTTGTCCATGAAGGTACCATCGTTGTTGTTGCTTCGCCCATAGTTCTTGGAATGTCTTCCTGGAATCCAAATCACTTGAGTCAGTTTGAGACGCAGCAAGAGGCAACTCAATACGCTGCATCCCCGGAGATTGTCCTTGGTCAACCAACACGCAATCTTTTCACTGCCGTTCCTCCTGAACCAGAAGAGCAAGAGCAACCGAAGAACGCCACACCACCAAAGGTGACCCAGCCATTTGGCATCTCTGAACTGTCTCCTTGGACGCAGGACCAGTTTGCTTCCCTCATGGGATTTAACAACAACAAGAAGAAGATGGCCAAGCGCAAGATTGGCAATGGCAGGGGAACCTTGGTCAGTAACTCCAAAAAGGCTAAGGCCAAAACGGCTCCTAAGCCACCTCCAGCAGCTGCCGTCATGCCTCAACGTGCTGGTACACCACCCATGCCACCTCTTCAAGGAGTGGATCGTCGCAAGGGCTGTTGTGAAGCATTGGGAAATGAGTGTCCATACCCACAATTGGAAGCCTTCCGTCACAAGTGTGGTTCTTGTCGTATGTTTGTCCATGCACTTCCCCCCTGTTCGATTGGCCAGAAAGATACTGGAGATATAATCTGCAAGAACTGTGATGGAGATGGCACTGGAGCTGCCCGTACTCCTCTTCCTACAGTTGCGTTGGAAGATTTTGAAGATGAAGACAGCGCAGAGGAAGGCAACAAGTCCCCAGACATGTTGGTCACTCAGGTAGATGATGAAGAAAACGAGGAAGACGAGGAAGACGAGGAAGAAGAAATGCAGGCCAACGTGGCCGTGGAGACTGCCAAGAAGAGGAACCTCGAAGTGGAGCAGCTTTCCCAGTTCTTGAATGGCAAATCCAAGCAGGATCAGAAGAAGACTCGCGGCAAGAACTTCACGGTGGATGAGGATGTGTACATGACAGAATCCTGGTGTTCGGCAACTGAAGATTCTCGCAGCGGAAGTGATCAGAGGCAGTCTGACTTCGACAAGAAATTCTTCGCCAATTATGTCACCAAGGTGGATGAGCACAATGAGGCCGCTGGTGAGGAAGAGCTCCCAAGGAACCGACAGCAGAGGAGTGTGGTGAATAGGTTTGGAGTCATCAAGCACGGCACCAACAAACTGATTGGCATCATCAATCAGAATCCCATCAAATCTGGAGAAACGCCGGAGGACCACCTTGAGCGATGCTTGACCATGTACGAACACAGTGTTGGTTCTAAGTTCCAGTTTGTCGAATGCTTTGAGATCTTGAAAGATTTCCCCAAGTTTTCCTCTTCGAATGACACAGGCAAGAAGCGTGCAGATGGGAAGAAACACACCAAGAAACCTCGAGCTGTGGGCAAAAGACAGGCTGCGCTCAATGACAAGATTGGCCGTATCCTCGAGAACCAAGGAATGAATGCGATGGGAGGAAAAGCTGTTCAGGAAGCCGCGTCAGTTAGTGAGGCAATTGGTCAAATCTCAACTCACCTAGTCAACCAAGTTGCAGTGTCTCAGTGGTCAGAAACAGACAAAGAAGAGTACTTCAAGAATGACGCCATGGAGAAGAGGCTCATGCAGAAGAGACGCATCCTCAAGTTGCAGAGAGAAATCAAAGACATGGAGAATGAAGATGCCGCCGGCAATAGGAAGGAGTCCAGCGAAGATTCAGATGACAGTGACTGATGGATGACTACTGAGAAGAACAGCGAAGGTTCCGAGACAAGACACTTGAGATGAGGAGATACAACAGAGAGATATGAAGATGCCGCAACTGGAAACTGTGCAATTGATGGAAAGGCCATGGTCGAATGTCAAATAGTAGACTATATTATAATCGTATTGTAGTAACGAAATGGTTTTACAGGCAATCCAGCAAGCGCGATAGGAGTGAGCCAGTGAGTGATCCAGTCGTCGGTGCTGTCAGTTTTACTTCACTCTTGTATGATTTGACGCCAGTCAACCAGTACTGATCCACCGTACATCGTACGAAACTTCCAAATCAGTCCACAATCAGTCAACACAATTTCCTTGTCGACACCTCTGCTTTCACGATGACTGTTTGTGTTGGATGTAAGAAGCGGCAATGTGGTTCATGATAGCTCTCTGTAGTCGCATGTGCCGGGCATCACTGTTGAGGTTGGTCCACCTTTCCTTGGCTTTCTGAATCTGATAGGCGGCATCCCTTTGTTGTGGAGTGAGAACACGAGCGAAGCGAGTGAAACGATCCAAGCTTTCCTCCCTTTCTTCCGCCTCATCGCCATCATTTAGAACCAGATGGTACATGTCAGCATCCTCGCTTTGATTGTCCTTGATGCGACGCTCTACCATCATATTGTGCATAAGGAAGCAACCATGCGTAATGTTTTTAACATCATCGATATCCCAGTATTCGATGGCCCTTGCAAGAATTTGGAACTTTCGAACCACAATGCCGAAGGTTCTTTCTGAATCCTTCCTCGCGGCCTCCTGCCATTCGACAAACATCTTGGCGGCATGACCAGTTGGATACTTCAACGTTTTGACAAAGCGAGCTGAGGCAGGGTAGATTCCATCCACCAAGCACCAAAGCATGTTGAATCTTTCGCCGTCCACATGGAATTCGAAGTCCACGTTCTCCACGAACTGATCTGATAAGAACAGTCTATGCAGTGGCGAGGAGTCCCAGATGTTGATATCACTTTGTGTTCCTGCGTGGCCAACAGAACAAGACCAAACGAAAGTGTTGTAATCAACAGCAGCCTCCACCACAATGGAAGACTGCTTGTTCTTGCCGTTGCGAAACTGACCTTGCCATGCAACTGGGCAATTCTTCCAGAAAACATGCAGGCAATCAATACTGCAAAGCATCCCTGGTACACCATGCTTCCTTTGATGCAGAGCGGTGATTCTTTTGGCATCCTCCTTTGTGGGAGCGCGCATGTACTTGCCTTGAAGTTCTGTGTCAGCTCTGATCGCACGGAAGAAGGCTTTGAGATTCTCGGTGAATGTATTAACTCCCATTTGGTGGTAGTCGCGGAATGCTCTGCCAGAACACCCGAAGGCAACACACTTGAGGATTCCCAGCACTTTGACTTCCACTGATATCCCAGGCTTTCCAGAGGCATCTCGACGTTCTGATGAGAAGTGTTTTGGTTCATACCGAATACAAGCTTGAATGAGCCTTTCCACATGACTTTTGGGTTGTCTGAAAGTCATCTCGAATTGTCTGTCAAGGAATATGGCGTCAGAACCCAACCAATCTTCCTGCACGCACTTTCTAGCCCTCTCATGGTTGTGGCGTGTTGGCCTTCTTTTCTTTCCTGGAGCACGAAGAGAAGCCTCCTGCTCATAAGCAGCTTTCCTCTTCCTGTTGTTGCTTTCGTAGAAGTGAGTGTAAACAGCTTCCGTGACATCTTCCACCAGCTTTCTCTGACCAATCATTTGTTCCTTCATTGACCTTTCCAGTTGACAGGCGGCAGTTGCTCCAAAAAGAAATAGGTAGCAGATTTCCTTTGCATGGCGACTGAGGAAGGTTGGTCCCATCCTGGTTACCATTACAGCAAGCAGTGACAAGCCAACACCTATGTCATTGATCTCTTTTACAGCTGATAGTGTTGTTGGCGGCATGGTGGCAACAATGAGATCATTTTGGAAGATTGAGCGATTGAGCCATTCACCAGTGGGATTTGTCAAGTTTACAGGATAACTCTCTAATATATAGCGAGCCAATTATGATGACCAAAGTTTCTGTTGAGCGAGTTGCCTCCATTACCGATGGTACGTGTAAACTTGGAATATACGCTTAACTTTGATGCCACTGTTGATCCTGCTCTAAGGAAACGACACAACATCCAAACTCAAATCCAAGCAAGAAAAACAATAAACAATCATGGACGAAATGCTTGGTGTCAGTGTCTTTTATTTGGAGCAAGTCTTTTTGGAAGAAGAAGTCTGTGCTACAACAACAACAACAGGAAATCCACTTTCCAAAGACTCCAAAGTCTATGAAATTGAGGATCTGCAAGGTCCTCCGGGGGTCATTCGAACCAAGGGAGCCAACACGGTTTGCCCAATCGATGGCAAAATGGGGGCTGCCTATGTCCATTGTCTGCAAGGCAAAGACCATGTTGGAGAGGCAACTCAAATGCTCAGCTATTCCTGGAATTACGCCATTGGAGATATTGTGGATACCCTCACGGATTTCTGCCGCCAAAACAATCTCAACCCAAAGAGGACCTATATCTGGGTCTGCTGCCTCTGTGTGTCAATCAACACAGGGTTGTCCAAAACTCTGCTCTGCAGAAATCAGGAATGATTATTGCGTCTGCTGCCAAGATGGACTTCTTTGCCATCTTTGGAGAACGAGTCAAAAAAATTGGTCATTTGCTGGCCATGATGGCTCCATGGAAAGCACCCATCTACATCACTCGGGTGTGGTGTATTTTCGAGATCTTTACGGCTCATAGGATGGGTGGTTGCAAAGTGGATATTGTCATGCCACCCAAAGAGAAGCAATCTCTAGAGCTAGAAGTCGTTGATAATGGAGAAGGCATCGATGCTCTCTACGAGACACTTGGCAACACCAAAGTTGAAAATGCCAATGCATCTGTTGAAAGTGACAGGCTGGCTATTCTTGGACAAGTAGAATCAGATGTTGGATTCTCTGTGCTCAACAATCGAGTCAATGACTTGTTACGTGGTTGGATGCATGGTGTCTTGACTCAGTTGGTGGAAACCAGAGAAAACACAAATGATGAAGACTATGTGGACTTTTGTAACGACATTGGAGTTATCTTTGACAACAATGGAGAACATGATGCAGCCATGAAACTTCACCAGACTGCTCTTAGGATTTGTGAGACTGTGTTCGGTGAGAATCATGAAGAAACAGCAACCACATACTACAACATTGGAGCTGTTCTGGGAAGCATGGGTGACCATGCAGGTGCTTTGCCAAAGATGAGAAAGCTCTTGCAATTCGATTGTCAGCATTGGGCAAGAATGATCCTGATGTTGCAACTGTGTATATGAGTATTGGTGCTGCCCTGCACAATATGGATGACTATGAAGGTGCTTTGTCAAAGTATCAAGAATGTCTTGCTATTGAAGAAAAAATATTGGGCAAGAATCATCCTCATGTGGCAAACACCTACAACAATATCGGGAAAGTGCTGTGTGATGTGGGTGACTATGAAGGTGCTTTGTCAAAGTATAAAGAATGTCTTGCTATTGATTTGTCAGTACATGGCAAGAATCATCCCTCATTGGCAGCCACTTACAACAATATTGGCGGCTTGATGTATAGGATGGGTGACTATTCTGGAGCCTTGTTGAAATTTGAAGAGTGTCTTGCCATTTGGGAACCAGTACTGGGAGCAGATCATGGTCACACCAAAGGTTGCCTAAAATGGATTGAATTTGTCAAGTCAAAAATGCAGCAACCTTGATTCTGTGGTCAATCAGTGGAAGGTACAAGTATAAGCCACTTAGTCTCTTTGCCTTACCCTTTTTTTCAGCTCCTTCTGTCAATGATGGTTGTTTCTCAATGGAGGAGTAACAGTCTTGGTGCTGCCACTTGCTTTGGATTCCGAAAGCTTCTCCTGGATGAATCGTTCCTTCTTACCAGCCTTAATGGATTTTCTGCTGCACAAGAAGGTAGCACAACTACATGCACACCTGGGGAAGACTACTGTACTACACATGAAATGACTACTGCTACCATCACAGATACCAACAGCAGCATCCCTAAGAGTGGTGGAACGACGCCATGGTACTGTAGTTTGTATCTAGTAGCTAGCTAGGATCAATTTTGCCTCGCACTACATGCATCTTGTGTGCTGACTCTCGAGTTAGTACGTAAAGCTGCTGAATATCAAGTCCCCACATCCCCTGGCTGCTACAGTACTAGCGACCGGTACCACCCCGCACACAGTATTCAAGAAAAGACTGGAAGTTTCCACACGAGCACCACCACTAGGACCATCAAGGCCGCCATCCACGGACTCAGCGTCGGCCGTTTGGTAAATTCCAAAATCAGATGCATCTGTTCCATGTGAATATCTTGTGGATTGGGCACGGCAAAATAGTGATCCCGCCGTTTGGTGCCATTGAAATGTGGATCATCGTCATGCTTTTTTGGAGGTTGAACAATGGTACATTCCACCACGGCATAGCACGTCAAGTCGACTGCCGCATGGGGATCTTGCAAATATTGCACTAAACTGGGTGACAGTGACGAGAGCAGATTCCAAAAGGACGGCGCCGCCCTCCAAATGGCACGGGGCAGATACTTGGCACTGCCATTTTGAGTGGCAAAAAAGTAGGCCACATCGTACTTGTCCGAGAGATAGACGGCCGGTCCCATTAACGCTCCATTCTTTTGAATGGCAGGATGGGTGCACAGTCCAAAATTGAGAATGGACCAGGCATTTTCAATGGATGTTCCGTGAAACGCTTTAACGGAGCCTCGCTGGTGTACCAATTGTTGAAAATGAGGCGTCGGGTCATGTCGCAAATCCAGTGTCACTTGAATGGCTTTGGTATTGGTTTTGGTCGAGACATTGTCGTCTACGGCGAGTTTAACTTTCTCCGTCCATTGGCGCGAGGACAGAAAGGACACGAGGGAGGCTTCGTCGCATGTTCGTTGTGGTTGTTGCAAGGCCGTGTCTCGAATATTGTTGTGATGCAGGACAAATGCCGGATGTCGTTCGTAGCCCAAGGGAAATGGCGTGCACAAACGAGAACTCTTTTGACTGGTGGCGGCGCATCTCATCAAAAAGAGCGGCAAATCCCAGGCGGTTCTCTTGTGCGCCCACAAGCGTCGAATTTCGTGTTTTCTGTCATTATTGGGTAAGAAGGGCTGTTGTGGTGGTGGTGGCACCGTCAACTTGCCAAGTTCCAAGAGTAATTTGGAGACTGTGGAAAACAAGGAGGCGCATTCTTCGGCATTGACTCGTTGACACAATTCAATCATTTCGTGGTCCATCCATTCGCATTTCTCCTTGTAGTACTTGTCGGGGACGAAATGAATTTTGTATGGGCTAGTGATATTGACGGGTATACCAAACTCCAGGCGATATCCACAGTAATGCTGATACACGAGACTCAGCGCCTTGTCTTGGTAGTGAATGCTCGAGAAATTCCCATTGGTCTGTTTGTTTCGTTTCTTGGCAGCAGAAGGACTCTTATTCAGACGACGGGCAGTGGGACTCTCGGAACGCAAAAAGGCCGGTTGCGCCTGAAAGTGATCCAGCACCAGAGATACTTGACGATCTTTATCCAAGCTTTGCTGTTGGGAACCCACAATACCGGTAGTGTTCAGGGGCGTTGGAGTTCTCATCAGTATTTGCTCTTGTCGTTGTTGTTACTGTGAGGGTGGTACTAGCTAGTAGGTAACCTTGTAATGGTTGATCATATATTACATGTATGTCTGAGCTTGGAGACGCTCGTGTTGTGTTTTGTGGTTGCATGGAGGCTTGGAGGGTGTTCTGTCTGTTCCGTCGTGTCCTATCTCTCGCGCAAATTAGCTTTAACCCTAGCTTGATGTCTTTTAAAAAAAGTCTTTTTCAAAGAGACATGGAAGCACGTGGTCATGTACAGTAAATACATAAGGGATGATAGAACACGGCGAGGTAACGGCGAAGCAACTTCAAGCTTGAGGGAACACCCAAAGAAACACCCTAGTATCGCGCGAAGCGCGAAGTATCGTCCCGGGGGAGAGGAGGAGGGGGCCGCGCAGCGGCCTAGTAACCAAGAGGGGAAGAGGAGGGGGAAGCGAACAACAACAACAAGACCATGACGAAATCGCGAGCAATCGACGGCCACCGGAGGTCCGACCGGGTGGTAGCAGTAGTAGTAACAGTAGTAATAGATGTATTGTTGCTGGTTTTAACACTCTTCAATGGTATCTGATCACCATTGTCGCCTCATTGTTGTTGTTGGTGTTGTTGTTGTTGTTGCGCTTGATTCTGGGGGCGAATCCGTGATACTTCCGATGGTTCCACTTATGGGTCGAATGAGAATTCGTTAAATCTCTTGATGTTTCCTTATGTTTCCGTTGTTAAATCTCCTTGAGACAGAGGAAACTGCCACGCTGCCTTGATTCTGATTCGACTGAGTGGAATGAACATTCAATCTTTGACACTTGGGTTTCCTCTCGGTTCAGTATGGACGAACCAACGAACGAACGAGCTGAGATAGCTGAACGAAACGCTGCTGCAGTGAGCCAACAAACAAGAAACGCAACGAGCCGTCATTGTGGAATGTTTCGCCGTGGTCGCTTCGGCCATTGTCGAGGAGAAAGAAAAGGGCATAGCTTTCGCGTTTCGATTGTTGAATTTATGGAACTGACTGACTGGAGACGATCGACTGAAGAGCATCGACGCCTTGTTTCGTGCGTCGAGTGGAGGCGGAGAGGCTCCGACTGTTGGTTCTCTCTTAACCTTCCGTTAGCCAACAACCATGAGACTAGCAACAAGTCCAGTTTTCCATCTTCTGGTACAACAAATAGCCATAGGAATTGTCTCAGAATGTGGAAAATTGTTGTTGCAGCTGTGGATGCGGCCTTTGTTGATTCAATCCCTCGAAGCATACTACTAGTATGTATGGACGAGTTGACAACACACATGGTCGCTGACGATCGATCCAAGCTACTCTTTTTCATTATTTCGATATTACTCTATCTCTACACGTGCACTCTATCAAGATGATGCTATCTCCTCTTCTTTACAGCGACTAGTCTCCACCATGGCAGCCATTCGACGGAACGATTCGGTCGATGGCTTCTCCTTTCTTCTTCCACGGAGCGACCGATGACGCCTCTACGGCCAATGCAGCAACAACAAGCGACGCCTTGACAAGGCACTGGCTGGCTGGAAACTACGGTTAGACGAAGAAGCCACTAAGCCGACAACAACGAGTTGGCTACTACAATCTACAATTTAAATTGAAAGGATTGCGTCGAGGAATTCAAAATGGCATAGCCTCCGGCGTAGCCCGAAGGCGGCGACATTTATTTTGTGGTGGCAAGGGATCGGTGTAGGTAGACGGTGGATTGGAGTGGTTGGTGGTGGTGGTGGAGATGGCAATCGAAAGGACGACAGTAACGAACGACCATGGTGATCTGTAATTTCAGCGATTGCTCGGATCTGTTCCGTTGCTTCATCATAATGCCAAGAGCCTTGCCCCTACCGAAGTAGGCACTGACTTCAAGGCAAAATAGCGCAGCAGTTGTTGTTGTTGTTGTAGTAGTAGCGTTGTCATTTATTTGTTGGTAGTAGTAGGGTTGTCATTTGTTGGTACTAGTAGTAGTAGGGTTAGTAGCGTTGTCATTTGTTGTTGTTGTGGTTGTTGGGACACTGATCTGATCACCGGCTCGCTCAAAGACACAGGCATCCTTTTTTGAACCAAGTATCCTCTTCTACAGAGGCACCAGTACATCACCCTGTATGTACCCTCTGGTACTCCTCTACCTACTCCATCGATACTTCCGTCTGCCAATGAAGAAACAGCCGCCACTACTATCATACCAACCCGTAGACCAGTGCCACAGGACCGTTCGACGGTTTTCTCTCAGGCTTTTAAAACTGCCACGACTGACTCAAAATCCTGGTTCGCGTTAAGCGGATGTAAGAGGATGTGAAGATTTAAGAGGATGTTTAAGAGGATGTTGAGTATTTAAGAGGATGTTGTTAAGAGGATGTTTATTTAAGAGGATGTTCATTCGTGATAAGAGGAAGTTCTATGGTGTTTCAATGAAGGCTTAAGAGGATGTTTCGAAGCTTTAAGAGGATGTTGTTAAGAGGATGTATTTTTGAAAGGATGTTTAAGAGGAAGTTGAAGATTTAAGAGGATGTTAAGAGGATGTTAAGAGGATGTTTAAGAGGATGTTGTCAGTCGTGGAAAATTCAAGGTTTTTAAATCCTTATCGAAAACCGTCGGACGGTCCAGCACTCAACCGGGTTACCAGGCCCCACCAGGTTTTTAAAAAGGTAAAATTTATTGTTAATTTTAAAATGTTACTGTAGATTTTTTGGGGGCTGGGTCTTTGTGTCTGTGTAGCTTCTGAGAGCTTTCTGAGCATCTTCTGTATGCATGAATCTTGAATTGCCCTTCGCCGCCATGTCGCCGTGGCTATGAATAAAGCTTGACTAATGACCACCGGTTTTATTGAAGGATGGTCATTCTCAATAATCTATGCCAATTACGGTAGAACTGGTACGGCTGGGCAGTTGCTGTGCCCACTTCTGATGTTTGGATCTTGTTTGCCACGTCGCCACTAGTAATGCAACTGGTTGGGAGCTCTTCGTACAGCGTACAGCGTGCCCGTACCGGTGTGCTCGTTGCTCGTTCACCAGTTCAGCTTGGCACTCAGCGACTTCGACACATCGTTTCCTCACAATTTTCGAAAACCAAGAGCTAAAAAGCTAATACGATCACCATTCATCAAACAGAAGAAGAAAAATATTCAACCATGACGGACTCTACTATCCAATGGCCCAAGAAGACCAAGGAGATGGAAAGCCACCACTTTGACTCTACTGTGTGGAACGACTTCAAGTTCAGGGATGATGACATTGTCATTGCAACTTATGGCAAAAGCGGCACCACTTGGACTCAGCAGATCATCTCCCAACTCATCTTTCAAGGAGACACAACCCTGGATGTGGCCGGAATTTCCCCATGGGTGGATCTGCGAGTTCCTCCCAAGCCCATCCAGCTTGCTATTCTGGAAGAACAAAAGCACCGCCGTTTTGTCAAGACTCATCTCCCCGTGGATGCCCTCGTCTTTTCTCCCCAGGCCAAGTACCTCTATGTGGTCAGGGATGGCCGTGATGTGGCCTGGTCTCTGTTCCATCACCACATGAACGCCAATGCGGAATGGTATGCCGCCTTGAACGACACTCCAGGACTGGTTGGTCCCAAGATTGGCAAGCCAGTCTCGGAAGATCCTGTGGAGTACTACAAAAGTTGGTTTGACAATGATGGAGCTCCCTTTTGGTCATTCTGGGAGCACATGAAGTCTTGGTGGGCCATCCGTGACCTCCCCAACGTCAAGTTTGTGCACTTTAACGACTTGAAGAAGGATCTGAGTGGACAGATGAGAGAGATTTCGGAATTCTTGGAGATCCCCATCAATGAAGACAAGTTTGACGAGATGGTCGAACACTGCACTTTTGACTATATGAAGAAGCACGCGTCGCAAATGTCTCCTTTGGGGGGAGCCCTCTGGAATGGAGGCGGGGCTACTTTTATCAACAAGGGGACCAATGGGCGCTGGGCGGATCTTCTCTCGGACGAGGACTGCCAAGCATACGAAAAGAAGGCAGTGGAGGAACTGGGCGAGGAGTGTGCGGAGTATTTGAAGAATGGAAGTTTGGCATCTGTTGTGCCCCAGCCAATGACCGACAGCTCTCTGCAGCAATGAACAGTCCGTACCTTGCTGCCCTTTGGATCCGAGAAAGCCCAATTGTTTTATTTTTTGTCTGCCCATGCTGCGTTTCTTCAGCAGTATACAGTATGGAAGTGGGTTTGGAGTATGGAAGATAGATGTAACTAACCAATGCTTAGCAACAGAATATTTGAAGCCTTTGTTCATGTTACGCCACATCATAGCTCAAGATACAACCCATAGTTTCCCACTTCGAAAATGTCCACATGTTACAAACCCTTGTCGGAGTCCTTCGTGTACCGATAGCTGGACAGCATTACAATATCATTGTCATGATCATACGGTACCCCCTCAGGCGTCACACAGTGCATCGTTTTCGCACTCTCTGGTGCCCTTGCGTCGTGTCGCTGAATGCAGACGGCACACAAGGCGCAGTGGTTCTGCGACCGACAGTTTGAAACCAACCACAGGGAAAGATTCCTCTCCTTCCTCGCCCTACGGTAGCTTGTGCAAAGTCTCATCCAATTTCCATAGTCAACTTCCATAGCAGCTCGCTGTGCTGTGCCGCTCATTTAATTAAAATCATGCCTAGCTAGCCAGTACCATTCCTCATCTTCGGAAGTACTCCTCCCATTGTGGCATCACCTGTTGGGGCTTTTCTTTGTTTCTTCAGCATCTATCGTCGTCAAGAACTCCACTAGTCGGTGATGGATATCAAGCTCCTTGGCACTGACGCCCACAAATTCTGCGATACATTTCAACACTCCAACTTGGCCACTAATCTTTGCAACTGGTGACTTTTTGCGGGTTTCCAAGAGTTGGGTCCACAGAAGCTTGGCTTTTCCGCTGTCAACACCCAAATCTAGGACAGTTTTGGCAGCATTCTTGGAACCAAGCTTGGTCTCCAATTTGGTGGCCAGTGCTTCCAAAGAGAACTCTGGGCAAACACAAGTCCCCATGAGGAACACTTGAAAGGTATCCCGATTTTTCAGGACATTCTGTGAACAAGACAATAGACGTTTCTGTTTTTGCTTTCCTCCTCGAATCAATTCACTCCAGGCACTGGGGTCTATCTCTCCAGAATGATCATTGTGAATAGCTCCATTCGCCAAGAACCATTCGCCAATTTCCCAGCATTTTTCATTTGACAAACTCCAGCAGAGACTCAATGGACTGATGGAAACTGAAGTTTTGGCTGTGGCATCTTCCTTAGCCCCGTTTTTGTACAACCATTGGCAAACAGCCAAATGGCCTTGGTTAGTTGCGGCCCACAAGGGGTACCAAATTTCGTCGCCAACTTTGGTTGTTGCTCCCCCTTGGCTGAGAATGTACCGGCACATGGGCAGGTCTCCATGGAAGCTAAAGTGAGTCATTGGGGTGATGGAATACCAGAATCCAGTAACAGTCTGTGGTGTCTTCAGAGGATCTATAGCTGTGATGCAATCGTTGGGATCAAATCCAGCCTCTGTCAACTTGCGTTTTGCTGTGGCCACGTCTTCAATGGTCGCATGTTCAACGATTATCCGCTTCTGTTGGGCTTGTGGATCTCCACTACATGTAGAGAGTAGGGATGATCGAGACGACATGGTTGATGGAGGCTGGTTCACCGAGACCAATGATCGTCAACGGTGCAGCACTCGATCGATCGTGGTTTGACACGGAAGCTAGCTAGACAGGAAGCCGTTTTTTGCTCTGTGCATGCCACGGGAGCTGGTGATCGCAGAACTCCGTGCTCCCTCTGGTTTTACGTTAAAAGCTAGCAAGGCTGGAAATACTTCAGAGGCAGCCTTTGAAAGGAAAAGGAGGAAACTTTCTAGTAACCCTTTTTTTGTGACTTTTACACACCTACTAGTACCAATGGTGCGGAAAGTGCGTGAGGCTCCAAGGAGATCTCAGCCAGCTAAGTTACTAGCTAGTAGTAAAAGGAAGACATATTTTTCAGGAAGGAAACCAGTTTGATGCCAATTAGACAGTTTTGCTACTGTAGACTACTACTAGCTAGTAGTACTCCAGCAAGCTAGCTAGATTGGGCAGCTACCTGTACTGCCGGTAGTACTGCAGCAGCAAAAAGTGCAACCCAAGCACGTCACCTCTTGCTCGAGCCTGAAGTAATACCTAGCTAGCTAGCTAGATGACTAAGCTAAAAACAAATACTAAATAGATACGTTAGCTAGATAGCCAACAAAGCCATCCAAGAAGCAACGCTGCTGTCAGATTTTCCTCCACAGCCAGTCGATACCACTACCACTCATCGGTCACAAAGAAATTGCAACAAGCAGCCAGTCAATGACACAACAGTGACCGCTGCTGCTACTACTACGGTACTAAAACTGATGACTACGAAAAACCAGGCCATCGATAGTCTATACCGATAATGGCAACTGTGTTCACAACAGGACAGCAGCCTGCACAACCAGGAGGAGCTACAAGAACAGCTGCAACAACACAAAAATAACAATTTTTTCTTCGTATACATCAGAAAAATGGGTGCTGACACAGGAATCGCCACCACAACACTAGGAAATAGCATGTAGCCTCCTCTGGTTGATTGATGCATTTCAATGATTCGACGACATTTGCTCAGGTTGGTGATACGTCTGCAGTTAATATGGCCTCCTCCATCGTACGGTGATCCACTCTCCGTTTGGTTGGTTTACTGGTGTGTATTGCTGTGTAGCCTACTCCGGTTGACTGTTATTGATTTTCAAGGACTCGACGACGATTGGACATGTTTCGTTCAGTTTGGTAATAGGGCTGGAGCTAACAGAGCCGGAGCTCTTATTATTCGTAGCGATGAAGCGATCGATCGACCGACTCGACAATGATAGCTTCTCCCCTACCGTATACCGATAGATCTAACTAGTTAAATCTAGTGCAATACACGGCTCTTAGCTTTATTCGCGACTCGATCCTAGATAGGGTTTGAGTTCGACTCATGACTGAGTCTCTCGTGAATAGTCATTTGAGACAGGGTTCTCAATGACCGCTCTAGTCATACTAGGTTGATGATGAAACATCGCTCTAGATATTTAGCCAGCGTGGAGTACTTCCACGCTACTAGATCCAGGCTAGACAAACCTTCTACGCGTTCCGTTTTAGGATCGTGGAGAGACGTAGGATTACTACTACAACCTACTCTATCACACTTCATAGTCTCCCGCGGGAAGCCAGATCTACGATCCCTTGATGATGATCTCTCTCGTTGATTAGTTTTCATAGCTTTCTAATCTCTCTCATAACTTTCATTCTCTCAAACTCAAAACACTCGAAAGATCTTTACGCTAGCTTTTAGCGTAGTGCATTTTGTTAACAAACACAATAGCTTTCAGCTACCCTCAACCTATTCCTTCACCATGAAGATGGCTCAAGGAAAGCATGCGTTCCGCAACTTCGAAAAACAGTTGCGTGACAAACCCATTCTTCCTCTCGTCGACAATGACGGAGAAAACGAGATCGACGATACTCGTACAACCACTTGCAAACTTCGCAACCATGTTGCCAAGCGCAAATCAGAAGATTCTGACAATGAGGACAACTCCTCTATCAATTTCAATCACTTGGATGGAGAAATCTCTATCTGAGGATTAGGCCACAGGATGATGCTCAACGGAACATGTCCGATTTCTCATACCAAATTGATGAAGATATCTCACTACATAGTAAAAAGAATTGTTTGTAACGATGAATCTACGCAAATTAGATGTTGCCTGAGAAGCTGCTCAACTAGACTATCTGATGATCTATAGAAATTTTTGTTAACCTCGTCCGTGCAACCACCTCGTAAACGACGCAAGACAAGAGACCTCAACCCATCGTCTATTAGATTTAAAAGGAAAAGCGAACCAAAAACCCGTTACACTCCGTTGCTTACTGATACAGGAGCATCCGACCTTGATTGCTTAAACTCATGCTAAGAATTAACTCATGAAGTTTGGGGGGTCAAACGTGTGGACTACCCCTGCAGGGGAATTAAACACCAGGACGAAGTGCAAAGGTGTATTTATGATTCCTGAATTACACGAAGATAGAATCATCAAGTGGAATTTACACATCACCAAGAACTTGGGCCGTATGACATGATCATTGTTCGAGACATTCTCTCTGAATTAGGATTCAAGTTCGATTCACTACCATGTCAGTGAGGAGCGGCGCGTTCTATTCCTATGAAAGACAGTGACACCAATGAAGAAGAGGACTTCTTCATTCCTGATCATACTGCTGTTGATGACAGTGAAGATCGTCTCAAGTAGATCCTTGATGCGAAATACGAACAAGCTGATTTAAGGCAGGGTTGCCAAAGTCAAGATCAGTTAAAC